TGCTCTTATCGGGCGCATCTCGCGGCGGGTGGCGGGCGGCCTTCGCTAATCAAGTGCGAACGCGGGGCCGCCCAGGCCTTGACCTCTGCGGCACCTGTTGGCCGCGGGTACTCCCAAGGCCACCCGTTGAGGACGCTGCCCGGTCCCAGCCGCACCCCCTGTCGCCTGCGCCCGCCCACGGACCGGCCCCCTGCCCCTGCGAGCGCTCACGTGCCACATCTGACGTGCCACGTCTGATGCGCCAGCAAATCGCCCGGCCCCGACGGCCGAGCCGGCCGCATCCACGGAAAAAGCCCCAAACCCGCAAACCCCCTCTCACCTGGGTGATCCATGATGCGCCGCTCTTGCCTATCTGGCTCCCAACCAGGTCGACCGCTGCCTTGCCGCGCTGCTTCTCCTCCTTGTCCATCTCAATGTACACCATCTCCCTTGCCGGGTCAAACAGGCTGTACTTGGCGGACCGTGCGAACACCTGCAGCAGTTGGCGACGATTAGAGTCGGTTGGTGGCGGTTGGCGGCAGTTGACAGCGATTAGTGGCAGTTGGGGGAGGGGCGGGCGGGCCGGCGGGCGAGGGGTGGTAGAAGTGAGTGTGGTCAGATGCGAGGGAGCTAGGCAGGGTAGGGGCGGCGGAGCCCGCAAGACCTGGCAGTTCTTGGCAGAAGAGAACCAACAGTGGTTTGTCGACGCTCGGGCGGACGCGAGCGCGGGTTGACGGCGGTCGGGGCAGCGAGTGCGCTCCGAGGGCGGCCGCCCGGCGGTTGGGACGGCGGCCTCGGCGCGCCCCGCGTCAGCGCGCACGCGCTTCCAGCCCCGCCCACGCCAGATCCCCCGGGCTTGGAATGGCAAACGCCCCAGGGGCTTCCACAAGAGGGCGCGCCGCCCCTCCCCCACCCCCAAAACGATCACCAAATTCGGCCTGCTTCCACCCTGGCACCACCTGCCCATCCCCACCTGCGCCTCGATTGCTTCCCCCCTCGCAACGCCCACCTGCAACCCCCGATTTCCCAAGTGAATTACTCAACCGGAACCCAGTATGCTTCACGCCCTAAACTCCCAACCACCCCCACCCCTCAGACACGCACCTGGGTGAGGATGCCCGCCGCCGACCCGACGCCGACCATCGCCGCCGCCGCCTGCTCTGGCAGCAGCGCCCCCAGCGCGCCGCCGCCCAGCAGCGTCGCGCCAAAGAAGACGGCGCCGGCCGCGCCCATCACGGCGGGCGTGACCGACGCGGCGACGCCCCAGCCGAGGTTTTGGAAGACGAGGCGGGAGCCGACCATAGACACGAGGGTGAGGATGCCTGCGCGGGGGGGGGGGTGTGTGGCATATGGTGACGTCACTAGCACCCTCGATAGGGTCGGGCCGCCGGAGATTAATCAGGACCGGTCATGATGTGGGGTGCAACACAAGCGACAAGAAAGCCAGCCACGAGGATGGAGGAAGGCCAGGGCCCTGGGCCGGCTGGGAGTGCGCCGCTCCGACAGGGCCCAGGCAGGGCAGCGGGCGCGGAAGCGGATTAAAGAAGGCCGGGCGCAAAAAGTGTGGGCGCTGGGACAGTGCTAGGGGCCGCACGATGTTGAGGCGGCACAAGGCCGCCGCGTCACGTCGAGTCTGCGTCAGCTTATGCGCCCACCTGTGTAGGTCGACACATCCGCCAGCACAGACTGGTAGCCCTGCACTGTGGGGTGCAAAATCCGCAGCTGCCCCTTCCAGGCAAACTCAAACAGCCTGCGGCAGTACGGAAAAGGGGCGGAGGAAACCGGATCTTTCAAAAAGCAGGCAGCAGATCCAGAGGTGGCAATCCAGTCGCCAACGGCCTTGCTCGCTGTGGCGTCGTGCGTATACTCGGGGGCCGGCGCGACCCCTGCCAGTCGCCAGATCTGCACCCGCATCACCAGAGGCCACCAGATCACATATCACAGATCACAGATCACGCGCCCCCACCTGTGCGCCACGCCGTAGCCCATCACCAGCAGCGCGAGGTTGCGGATCTTGGCGCTGCCCTTGAGCACCGCGAAGTTCTCGGCGAACGACCCCTTGGGCTTCTTCTTCTTGCCCTTTCTGCCCGCGCCGTTGCCGGCCGCGGCCGCCGCGGCGGCGGCCTCCTGGCGCTGCAGGGGCGCCAGGATCCGCCGATCTATAAAGGCCTGGGGGTGGGGGGGTAGCGTAATGAGGAGGGGCGGGG